ATTAATTAAAATGAATATTCCATTTGATCAAAAAGCATTAAATAAAAAATTGGTATACAATTTTTCGCATCGTAATTTAACTGATATAGAAGAGAAATTACTAGCTAATGGTTGGAAACTTGCCTTAAAATTAAAAAAGGTTAACACATTTAACATTAAGAGTGAATTAGAATACATTTATTTCATTCTGAATAAAAATAAAATGCTAACATCTAATGATAAAAAGTCAAAGATTAAAAGCTTACTTAGTTATTTTCCTAGTAAATTAAATAAACAATTGAAACATGATATACCTAATTTATCACAAGAAGAAAATAAAGCTATTTATAATTTGTTAAATGATAAATCAATAACAATTTCTAAAGCTGATAAAGGAAATGCGATCGTGATATTGGATAGACAAGAGTATATTAATGAAGGAAATGAATTATTAAATGACAAGAAGGTTTTTAAAAAGATTTCATTTAATTTAACTGAACAACGTGAACAATCACTTATTAAATTTCTTCTAAAATTAAAAAATAATAAAATTATTAGTGAAAAAGTTTATAAAGAAATAAGACCTAATACTTGTTCCAGAACACCTGAAGCATATTTCTTAGTTAAAGTGCATAAAGAAAATCAACCTGTAAGACCAATAATATCCAGCTACAATTCATATAATTATAACACAGCTAAGTATTTAGCTAAATTATTAACCTCTGCTATGACATGTAACAAGTCTTATACTAAAGATTCTTTTGATTTTGTTGAAAAAATAAAAAAACATAGAACAACACCAGGATTATTATGTTCATTCGATGTACGCTCTCTTTTTACCAACATACCGTTAGATAAAGCTATTGAAATTGGTATTAAAAATATTAGAAAATATAATAAAAACATAAAATTGAATGATGAAGAACTCAATGAACTATTTAACTATTGCACAAAATACTCTAATTTCACATTTAATGATGAACACTATGATCAGATTAATGGTGTAGCAATGGGTAGCCCATTGGCACCAATACTTGCACATTTATTCATGAGTAATTTAGAAGAAAATATAAATAATTATAAGGGTAAGAAACCCGATATCTATTATAGATATGTAGACGATATTTTTATGATTATGAATGGAACACAAAAAGATATATCTAATTTTAAAAAATTCATGAATAATTTGGAAAAAACTATTAAATTTACAGTTGAAGTACAAGAAGAAAATAAATTACCTTTCCTTGATGTTATGGTAGAACGAGAAAACAATTTATTAATTACATATGTATATCACAAACCGACTGATACTGGACTATATATGAAATGGACTAGTAATCAACCAAAACAATATAAAATCAATCTCATTAAATGTTTATGTAATAGAGCAGTACGAATATGTTCATCTGATGCATTATTAAAGAAAGAGTTAGATTATTATAACAAAACATTTCTTGCTAACGGATATCCACTTAATATAATTAAAAAAACCATGAGAAAAATTGAATTAAATAAAACTATTAACACACAACAAAAACTTACAAATACAGAAACTATTTACATCTCAATGCCTTATTATAATAACTTTTCTATCGAATTAGCTAAAAAGGTTAAAATGATATGAGATTTACCTAAAAAGAAAATTCAATTTGGTTTGAAATCTCAAACAAGAATTTGCTCGATATTTAAATCTACTTATCGTGAAAGTAAAAGAGAAAAAACTCAAGTTATTTATCAATATAATTGTTTAAACTGCAACAGCTCGTATATAGGTCAAACCTCAAGAGATGTTGAACTAAGAAAACGAGAACATCAAAATGCTTTTAAAGGAATCGGAAACTCTAAAATTGCAGATCATTGTATGCAAAATAAGCATCTAAATGATTGGAATTACAAAATATTAGCTAATGAATCTAATGATATTAAAAGAGTGATTATGGAAAGTTTATTAATGGATATGATACAACAAACAACGAATAGAATTATATATTCGCAAAAAAGTTATGAATTAAATGTTTTTTAAATGACCGATTAGGTCATTTTTGCGGGCACTTAAAATTTACAAATTTATAAGATAATAAAACGTTTTATTATCTTATTGTTCTCTTAGTCAATGCACAAAATGTTCGAGCTATATATATAAGTGTTCTTTTTTTTTTTTCATGTAACTTCATTTTATTTTTGACTGACGAAATCAACAGTAGTTGACGAAACGTTTCACAAATAAAATATGATTTATTCGGTAGTTTTTTCTTTATTATTTATTATTATTAGATAATTTTTTAAGCTTACTATTGGTAAAATGAATTCAATATTTACCATGTATGAAACGTAAATCTAGAAAATGTTGTCAAGCAATGAATGTCTTTCTATGTAAAAATTAAATATTGACTCAGTCAAATGATGATTGAAAATTCAATGTATAGTTAGATGAACATGTCGAATAGATATTCATGCCGATTCATTTTCTATGGATACTCTATTGTATATGACGAATAATTGGGTATTTAATCAGTGCATGCTAGACAATTGTACAGGTTAGAGTCATTCTGTACGTCGTGATTTTTCTATTTCTCATCTATCTTCACTATCAAAAGATCATCTTCAAAGTACTTTTATATAATGAATTAAATTCTGTTTTATTCGATACTTTTATACATATAATAAATGAAATTTATTTAAGTTCGTCCAGTTGATGATAATGTTTTAACCCTTTTCCCTAGACTGAAAGGCTAGGGTCTAGAAACCGAAATTCACCTGTGTCTGTCTGTCTGTCTGTCTGTCTGTCGGTAACGCGGTCAAAATGGCCATTTTTTTGGCACATGTAACCATTTTTTTGGCACAAGTGACCATTTTTTTGGCACAAACGGCTATTTTTTTACTAAAATTAACTAGGTAACTATGGTACAAATGAGCATATAACTATGGCACAAACGGTCATTTTTTTGGTACAAACGACCACGTAACTATGGCACGGATGACCATATAGCAACCATGGTACAAACAACTATTTCGGTAACTATGGCACAGATGACCATATAGCAACCATGGTACAAACAACTATTCCGGTAACTATGGCACAAATGACCATCTAAAGACTGATGTAAATGAACCCATAATAATCATCGATAAAATGTGTCAATGAAATAACTATAATTCGGGTAGTGGTGTAAAACCGCTTACAAAAGCATTTAATTAGTGAGAGTCAGACCAAATGAGCAGTATGGATTTAA